TCCATCTTACCAAACATGATATCCTTCTCCAGCGACTGGTCCCTCCTGACAATATGTCCAAAGGATGAGAGACGAAGTTTGGCCATCTTGGCCTCCAAGGAGCACTCTGGCTGCAATTCTTCCAAAATGGATCTGTTGGTTCTTTTGGCAGCCCATGGCACTTTCAATATTCTCCTCCAACACCATAACTCAAAGCATCAATTCTTCTACAGTCTTCTTTACTCATTGTCCAGCTTTTGCATGCATATGAGGTGATTGAAAATACCATTTACCCTTTAGGCAGCTGAAAATCAGCTAGAGGCAACAGCAAAGAACTTCTAATACTTTCCTTTTGCTCACAAAGTCAAAGACCACATTACCAATTCAATTTAAATAAAAGCCTAGTGTCCTGTCCATTTCATTATTGTTGCAAACCGAGTCAAATGAAGCAAGACTGCTCAGGCTGATGATGAATTTTCTCTTGCCTCCAACTGAAGTTTTCTCTTGGCCTACCTTCCACATTTGCACTTTGTCATTACTACTCATTCATGCAGCTAATCTTTCTGTTCAATTATTTCCTCTTCAGCAGCTTATTAACTCTAAGCAATCAATGCTAGACAAGAAGAAGTATGCCTTAGAAGGTATAACTGGAACAGGCATAGAAAGAATGCAATTCTAGTCTGGATCCCACAGTGTTATCCATGGAATGTATCACCAAGCACTTTAGCTATCTGTGCTTAGTTACCTCATCCTTAAAATGAAGAAACAGAACTTGGTTGTTTGGGGGAGACATCTTTCTATGGATTTCTCACATTTCTGCATGTTTTGTGAGCAGAGGCATTGGCTGCTTTTGTTCTGACCATTTTTTTTTTTAAAGGTGCTTGCATGGCAGTCTTGGAAAACAGAGACAATGTCTGTCTCTTAAGGGAAGGCCCTTGTTCTCACTGCCTATTATAAAAGATTTAGATTCCTGAAGCTCAGTATTCCTCTCTGGTCACACACCTCATTTCACTTGCTGGTATCATCTGACTCTCTTTGCATCATATGGTAGGAATGCATGGTTGGATTAGGGAACTCATGCAAATCTTGTACTCTGAATACTGTCATTATTGTGATTTACCCAGGGCTCTCATGTGTTCTGCCAGCATCTGTAAGGTTCTGTTAGGCTAACTTTTGAGCTTGCAAGTAAGTAGAGCAAAGTATCAGACCCTTCACAGTTCTAGGCAGTTGTTGATATCCAGACCAGGCTGCTCATCAGTCTCATGGAGGGAGATCATTAAACATACAGACAAGGAGGCTTCAAAAATACAAGGGGACTTCAAAAAATTCATGGAAAAATGAAATTAAAAAATAAAGGAATTCTTCCATGAACTCTTTGAAGTCCCCTTCCAGTTTTGGCACAGTGGCAGCAGCAATGGGCTCAAAAATAGCAGCAATTCTGAGGCTGGCACAGGACCAAGCAGTGTTTTGTTCTGTTGTGCATAGAGTCACTATCAGTAGGTACCGACTCAATGACACCTAAGAACAACATAACCAGAAATTAACACTTAGTAGGTATAAGCATGAATCTGTGTCTAGAAATATACTTAAATAATACTGATGAACAAAGCCCAGTTTCTGAGACCTTCAGATCATGTCCAACATGTCTTTCTGAACGAAATGTCTAAGACTCTCTAATTTTATATGTTGAAAGTGCCAGTTGTGCTGTGCCATATGAGGGTAATGAGAAATTTATAGAAGTGCCTTGTTCTTGTTGTTGTTAAGTGCCATAGTGACCCCATATAGGGTTTCTGAGGAACGGCTGGTGAGCTTGAACCACCAACCTTGTGGTTCAAACAGACATTGCAGTCCAGAGCATCAACTCACAATGCCACATCTGAAGTCCTAAAAGTGCATTAGCACTTATTGAATTCTGCCTACTCTACACAGTAGGTGTGTAGTTAATGTTTGTGGATGAAAGAATGAATGAAGTTTTTATGTTCATGATGCTAAAACACGTACTTGTGTTTTTAAAATACTGATTGTTCACCTGTTATGATGGTTTGTGCTAGACCTAGGGTTTTGTCCTTTTTTTTCCTTAGTTCTCCATGTGCAAACCAAGTGAAAATTTAACTTCCTACTTCAATGATATGCCCCACTTTCTATACTTGGTTACACTGATTTCTATACTCCAATTTAAAATGGATTCTGCCTTGATAATGGTTTTTTAATTTTCTTGATTAGAAATGACAAAGGGGCAGAGAGAGTTTTCCATTGAGCAAATGCCAAGTATACTCCTTTTCATGGGTTCTCGTAACCAATGCCTAAACCCTAGATGAAAATGACGTTGTGGTGACGTTACAGATTTCTCATAGTTGACCCTGACTTGATCTGGTATGCATTCTGCCCTGTTTTCTGGTTTCAATGAAAGAGATGCTTAGATATCAGAGACTGGGAGAGCTTCTAGCCCTAATCCTGATCTTTATTTTGTCAGTATTAATTTGATCCTCCTTGTGGGATTATGATTAACTTTTGCATTAATTTCACCCCATTTATGGGAACCAAGAGCATGGCTTGGAGCACAAGGAGACATGGATGATAGTCTTAGCTCTGTCACCAGAAAACTATGAGATATTATTGTGTGAGTCACCCCACCTAGAGTTTGGAAGCACAAGCTTCCTGTGAAATATTTTCATCTCAATTTTCAGAAACTAGGTGGAGACTCCTTTGTGTAAGTACATCTTTGGCATTGCAACAGAAGAGAGAATCTTTCCCAATATGTAGACGGTAGGTCAGGACTTCTTCAAAAGGAGAAAAGAAAAGGATTTATGCTTGGGCTTGCAGAATTTAGTTAAGTATTAAAATACCAAATTGAGCAACATTTACTCATGCAATGCTATGTGGAATTAGACGTTCCATAAATCAAATTTCATTAACCCTGATTCCATTATTTCCTTTTTAAAAATAGTTATTTAAATCTAAATGACTCTATTGTAATCATTACATAAATGAGGAATATTAAGGCAAACATAAGGTATTTTCCTCTTGGGGCTTTAGCACCTTAACTAGAAAGAATACAAAATGACAGAATTAGAAAATGATAGTGGCTTATATTTAATTGAGTTTAAACATTTTATTTTAAATTTATAATGTTGATGAGTAGGCTATTATGTGAAATCTTTTATCTCTCAAAAACTAATTCATGTATTTAATTTTGATTTTTTTTTTAATTTAAATGGATACTTTCTGAGATTTTCCTGCTATTCCACACCTCCACGTGATTTTCCTCTGTGAATGTGATGGACCATCTACCAGCTTCAACAACAATAAAGTGGTCAGATTCATCCATTCTTCTTTCCTCCCTCCCTCTCTTCCTCCCTTTCTTCCTTTTATTATCAAATATTTACTCAGATACAGGAGATAAAAAAAGGAATCTAAGTGGTAACTGTTGTGTTTGAAATTTCAATGTAATGCATTTCTCTACATCACCTGAAGGTCTTCTGAAATCTTATTCGTATAAAATACATCTTGTCATTAGTTACTAGTGGCAGCGCCATGGACGTAAGTGAAACACCTCATTCTAGAAGGGAATTGAATCTTTCATGGCAAGATGCAATAATAAAGCATGCTTGCTAAATATGCTTCCTCTTCCTCTCACTGTGATTCCATCTCACTAATCTGGAGAAAAAGTGGCCTTTTAAATTTATTTAAACCAACACTATTAGATATTGAAAGGAGCTCTGGTAGCATAGTGGTTACGAATCGGGCTGTGAACCACAAGGTCAGTAGTTTGAAACTACTAGCGGCTCCGCGGGAGAAAGATGAGGCTTTCTGCTCCCGTAAAGATTTACAGCCTCGGAAACCCTGTACAGGGTCGCTATGGGTCGGAACAGACTCGACGGCACTTAACAACAACAACATGGGCTGCAAACCGCAAGGTCAGCAGTTCAAAACTACCAGCCGCTCCGTGGGAGAAAGATGAGGCTTTCTGCTCCCATAAAGATTTACAGCCTCGGAAATCCTGTACAGGGTCGCTATGGGTCAGAACCCACTCGACGGCACTCAACAACATTAGATATTGAGTTCTTGTAGCGTAGTGGTTATGAATCGGGCTGCGTGCGAACCACAAGGTCAGCTTTTTGAAACTACCAGCTGTTCGGTGGGAGGAAGATGAGGCTTTGCTTTGTGCTCCTGTAAGGATTTATAGCCTCGGAAACCATGTGCAGGGCCGCTATGAGTCGGAACCGACTCCACGGCACATAACCACTATTAGATATTGAGACCTCTACTTATTCAGCACCCATACATCAAAACAAAAAGAAAGCCTTAACAATTCTCTCTTATAGTAATAAAGGCATGTATATAGTCCCATACTTTATTCTAAACTTGCCCATTGTGGGCAGTGTTTACAACTGTTTCTTAAATAGATCCATACACTGGGATTTTAATGACGACAATGTAAAAATTATGTCATATGTAAGGATGTGCCTGTAATTAAAATATCTTTGATTTATTTGCATTAATAAATCTTGTGATTTGGGTTTACTTTACTGTAGAAACTGAATTTTTGATCCCAGTTTTTAAGTCCTTAATGTTCTGGTAGGTGCCCCATTTGATACAATAACTAGTAAGGTACAGCTACTAAGTTTCAGAAGATTCTAACTTCGTAAGGAGATAAGACAAATATTCAAATCAGAAATACTTCAAATAAGACTCAATAAGAAAATCATCTTTGAACCTTCAAATGAGAGGTGATGGAGGATAAAATGAGAGAATCTGGGCTGAGCAGTGAAGTATAAAGTCAGAAAGATGTCCACACCACAAGGGGACACGGGCACCTTGTGTGAAAGTTAGTGCCTGCCACAACTTTGCATACCTCAAAGCTTATAAAAACAAAACAAAACACAAACTTTATATTGTTATATGTGTTCATTCCTCTGTTCTCTCTTAAATTCTTTGTAACTTTGAACTATATTAAAGTGAGCACTGTTGATTTTAAATGCATTCTAATTAAATTATTTTCCAAGTGTGTAAATAAGCTGTCCAAAAGATCTAACCAAGCTCTGTTGATTCAAAATTTGTAATAACCTGTATAAGAGTTAGACCTATCAAAGTACCTTCGCTGAACAAATACATTTGTCAAGGTTATTATAACTTAACAGAAGATTTTAAAATATGAGGGGAAAAATATGCTTTCAAGTGTTCTTTTAAAACTTTAAAAGGAGACCTGTATATGAGGGAGTTTCAATAAGTTCATTAAAAACAATTGAATGAAAGAATTTTGGAATTTTTCCCATGAGCATGAAATCCCCTCATATAAGCAAATAATCTGCTCAGTACAAATAATTTCACTGTTTATTAGAATGATTCCTTTAAGAACTATTAAGTTAACCTTAGTAGTCCAGTTTTAGTTACCATGCATTTTTTAAAAGTAGTAATTAACTAACTAATCTGTGTTTATTTTAGAACATTTTGTAAAATTTAGCATTTTCATCAAGTCTAAACAGATCCCCCCATTTAGTCTGACTTGGTGAAACATTATCAAATATATGCCTAGACAATGTATTTTCAGGTTTAAAAGGCATGCAATCCTCCCCAGGAGAGACTTTTTCCATTCCCCCATGAACAACTGGTGCCTGACCTTTCTGTCTTCTTCATAAGTAGACTTATGGTCTACAATGGCTAATGGAGTTTCATGTCCCAGGTAAGAAAGCTGAGACTTGGAGCGTTGCCGGATGGAAGCTCTGCAAATAAACAGAAAGATGAGTCTACAGGTTGCAGACAGCTTGGAGCAGAACCCAACTGGTTTCCAAATATACATCATGTATGTCAGATCAACAGAAATGTGTGGTAAGTCACGTGGCAACCAGGCCAGGGAGAGCCCTGGTTAAATTTGACAGAGCTATCCTTAAAACAAAACCAAAACCCATTGCGCCACTTCTGGCTCACGGTAATTCTACAGGACTGAGTAGATCGGCCCTCTGGGGTTTCTAAGGCTGTAATCTTTATGGAAGCAGATTGCCATATCTTTCTCCTACAGAGCAACTTGTAGGTTTAAACTGCAGCTGAGAACATCAATCACTGTGCCATCAGGGCCCCTTCCAACCTATCCTTACTACTACCATTGAGTCAAGTTACTTCGAGTGTAAGTCTTCATGGGAACAGAAAGCCTCATGTGCTCTCTCAAATCAGCTGGTGGATTTGAACTGCTGACCTTTGAGTAAATAGTCCAGAGCTTATCCTAGAGTGCCACACCAGGACTCCTTAGGACAGAACTAATCAGATACACTCCTGGGGCTGAGAGGTGGTGATACAAGCTCTTATAATTGCTGACCAAGAAGAAGTTGTCCCACTAGTCTACCAAAAACAAGCAAACAAACCAGATTCAAATACATTCCAAACCCACATGGTTCTGCTAATTTCCACCATGACAGAAGTCCATCACCTTTAATATACACCTCTCATCTGGTTATAGGTTGTAGTTTCGATTTTCTCTCTCTTTTAAGGCTATGCCAGAATTCACTTAAGGGGAGACCGCCTGGATGCTAATGAACTGGTAGGAGGAAATAAGGCCTCTAATGAGATATTCTCCAGAGTATGTACCACTCCCTAAGGATGCATTCAGTTAACAAATATCTTATTGAAATATAATATAGATTAATGTATTCATTCATTTATTCTTTCAATAGAGGCTTATTAGACATTAACAAAATATAAACCAATGCCAGACACTATGTGCATATGGTGGGGGTGCTGGCGTGAGTTACAAACATTGGTCCATCATAGATTTTTCCCTCCACAAAAGCCTCATTATTCCTGAGTCCATTCCAAGTCAACAATTCAATTGGACAGAGTAGAGCTGTGCTCTAAGGTTCCCGAGGCTAGCATTTTTATGGAGACTGACTACCACAGGTTTCTCCTGTGGGATGACTGGTGATTCCAAACCACTGACCTTTCAGCTTAGCAATCAAGTGCTTAACCACTGAACCACCAGGGCTCCTGATTATATTCCCTTTAGGCCTCTTTAACTACTTTTCAGCAAGTAATTAACCTTCTTGAACAAGTAATTCATATAACTAAATCTTTGCTTAGAGCACAGCCTTGAATTAAATGCTCTAGAAGGGGTAAAAGGAATCATGGTATGGTGCTGTAAGATAAGCACTAGACAGCTAACTGCAAGGTCAGTGGTTCAAATCCATCAGCCACTCCTCGGATATCCTATATAGGGTTGCTACAAGTAGGAACTGACTCAGTGACACTTGACAACAACAGAAGGGGTAAAGGCAGTGGTAGAGAGATAGGTTATCATGTCAGTGCCTACTAAAAGGCTCCTGACTTTAGTTAAAAAAAAAAAAAACAACAACAACAACTTTGAAAATTTTTTCATGAATATAGACAAATGCTCCCAGGCAGAATTCTTAACACATAAACTTTCAGCATTAAAGAAATTATTTCATTGAAACTTCTAAACCAGGATGTAAGACTGAAATTTTTAGTTTTATTAATAAGAACATGCTCTAAAAGATGTCTTGAGAGTAAATATCCATATATTGATTCATGCATTTATCCCAAGTCCTCCATCCCCCTTGCTCTGGTATATTCAAATTCTTGACAAGTCTTATTATGACTTAGCAAGAACCACTCCTCATCCTCCCTGTCTCCCACCAGGGTCTAGACAACAAACCCAGGACAATGAAAGCCAAGAGGGCAGTTTGTGGTAAAGGAGAATGTTTCAAGATATAGTTGATTACTCCATTTTGAGTATTGTTGTTAAGGGCCGTTAAGTTGGCTCCAACTCATAGTAACCCTGAATAGCATTTCTGAGGGACAGCTGGTGGGTTTGAACTGGTAACCTTGTGGTTCATAGTCTGGTGCTGACCCTACAGTATTACACCAGGAGTCCCATATTTTGAGCATGATGTTGTTGTTGTTAAGTGTCATCAAGTCGCTACTGACTCATAGCAACCCTGTTTCCGAGAAACAGCTGGTGAGCTGGAACTTCTTAGCTTGTGATTCAAAGCAACCTTGAAATCCAGTGCATTAACCCACAGGACCACACCAGGACTCCATTTTGAGCATAGGAAGACCTATATCTTTGGCTTCTCTAATTTCTACTGCTTTAATCTTATGTTCTTACATTTATCTTCCCTTTTCTTAAAACCATTTCACCCATTGAACATAGGATTTCACAATATGCCCATGAACTGTAAGCATGCTAGGCGGGTGCTCTACTTGATAGCTGGTTCCCCCTTCAACAAGTTAACCAATTCCCATCAAGTCATGGCTCATGGTGACCCACTGTATCCCATGGTTTTGCAGAGCAGAACTTTATTCCATGAGGCTTTCAGGGCTGCTGTCTTGTGAAAGCAGATGGCTAGGTAATTTATCTAAGGCATTTCTGGATGGGTTTGAACTTCCAACTTTCTGATTAGAAGCTTTTGTTGTTGATGTTAAAACCTCATAGCCAGCCTTTATAGGGTTTCTGAGGAGTGGCTAGAGGGCTTAAACTGCCGGCCTTGTGGCCAGCAGTGACGTGCTTATACTACAGTGCCACACCAGGACTCCTGTTTGTAGCTTAGTGCTTAGCTATTTCCACTACCTAGTGACTCCTAGCTTCCCCTCTAGTCCACCTTAAATATCAGAGTAAAATTCCATCACACCCCTTTTCAGAATCTGAGTATCTGCCACTCCTCTGCTTTGAAGTGGCAAACCCTTCTCACAATAAATAAAAACAGCTAATTTAAGGCTTCACTGTGCTCTTTCTCTTACCATTATTATTTAGGAAATTAGTTGCCCATTAAATTGTTCTTGAACTTAAAATATATTACTAAGGAGGGACTTAGCCATCATAAAGACTGAAGCCCAAGAAATAAGATATAAATTAACATCTCATTTAGCCATCTCTTTGCACAAAAATTTGTCAACATGCACAATGAGATATTTTTAACAGAGCTTCCTGTTCAGATTTATAAATCCTTCTCTGTTGGAGGTTAATTGTGCCTTTCATGTATGCACATTATATTTTTAGATTTCTTATCTTGAAACCAAAATGTAGGATTTATAAGAAATTATAGACAAATCAGAAATGTTTGTTTTTAAATAAATATCTGGTAATAATAAGACTGCAAACAAACGATTTCATACAGGTAGAACTTTGTTCATCTGAAAAGTTATGAAATGATTTTTTTTTTTTTTTTTTTTTGACATGACCACAAGATGTCCCTTTACTTTTCAACCTTTTAACAGGATCAAGAACAATCCTTAGTGAGCCTCTGTGTTTAAGAAGTTAGTTGTATCTTTGGGTTGCTATTCTAATGACCCTTATCATTTTAAGTTTTTATTCCAGTCAGAAAAGCATAATTAAATGTAATGCCAATTATCTATAAGGATTGTCTAATAATTTTGACTTATTATATTTGAACAACTTTCACATTCTAGAGTAACATGAAGTACTGTTTGATTATTTCCCAGATCATCAAATGAATAAAATTAGCATTCACTCTCATACTTCAGACACATTACCAATCCCTAGAGAAAGACATCATGCTCTGTAAAGAGTCAGCGAAAAAAAGAGAGACCCCCAGTGAGATGGACTGGCCCAGTGGCAGCAGCAATGGGTTCAAGCATAACCAAAAATTGTGAGAAGGGTGCAGGATGGGTAGTTTCACTCTGTTGTGCATAGGGTCATTGTGAGTCAGAACCGACTCAACAACACCTAACAACAACAAGAAGTAACTCTTAAAACTTTTCTGAATAGACTTGTTCTCCAGAAGAAAAATACAAACCCTAAGCATAAACTCAGTGAACTGTTTTTAAAATCCTGTTTTTAAATCCTGTGTTTGAACTATTGGGAGTTGTTACATCATTATCTTATTTTATGTCTTTTTAACCACTTTCTAGTAAACAAGTAACTCACTTGAACAAGCAATTCATATAACCTTTGCTCAGAACACAGCATTGAATTAAATGTCCTAGAAAAGGTAAAGGAGCCCTGGTGGTACCATGGGTTAAGCATCAGACTGCTAACCACCAAGTCTGTGGTTCAAATCCACTAGTAGTTCTTTAAGAGAAGGATGAGGCTGTCTACTTTTATAAAGATTGACAGGCATGGGAAAGCTATAGAAATCCTGTAGTACTACTCAGTCCAATAGGGTCCCTGTAAGTCATAATCAACTTGATGTCAGTAGGTCAAAAAGGTAAAGGCAATGGTACAGCTGAGCTACCAAGTCAGTGCCTTCTAATAGTCTCCTTAAGAAAACAATCTTGAAAAACATTTTTCTCATGAATATAGACAAATGGTCCAAGGCAGAATTCTTAAAACACAGACTTGTAGCATTAAAGAAACAATTATATTGAAATTTCTAAAACAAGATACAAGACTAAAATTTTTAGCCTTGTTAATAAGAATATATTCTTTTAAAAGATGTTTTAAAAGTGAAGCTATGTAATGGATCAGGACAAAAATAAATATTTCATGTTTAGGAAAACTCCCTTTATAAAATATATTGTGTGATGTTTTGTTTTTTGTGTTTTTCATCTAGTTAGTGAGTGATCTGACATCAGATGAGCAGGAGTAGTATTAATTCAATTGCAGTTTAATAAGTTAAATAGTGATGAAGCTAATGGTATGAATTTGACCTTCATAAAGACCACAATTTGCTTTGGAGAAAGAAGCTAAACACAGGTTTTCTTTTTTTTTAATTCCCTTTCTAATATCAGTCAATGGGGAGTGTGGTGGCTCTGTACAATAAGCACTGGACTTTGAAACACAAGGTCAGAAATTCAAGTCCACCAGCTCCTGCATGGGAGTAAGAAGAGGCTTTCTGCTCCCACACAGATGTACAACCTCAGAAGCCCTAAACAGGGTCACTGTGGGTCAGAACTGACTTGATAGCACTTGACCACAACAATATCAATAAATAGCATTTCAGGTATTTCAGTCTTTCCATCATGACCCATATACCCCAACAGATGCCAAGCCAATGTGGACCACATAAAGTCATGAAACAAAGACAAACATGTCAATATAAAATCCATTTAGATGTTCATATTACACAAAACTTGGGAACATGTATAGGGTTCCCTTGCTGTGCCCTGGGATATTATCTGAGGATCAAAGCAGAAGGGAACTCTGAAGGCTATTGGAAAACCTTAAAACCTGCCCAGTGACTTGAACTTACCTTAAGCTAGCATGGTAACTCCCTCTGCTGAAGGTCTCCTTTCTCTCAAGTGAGGTATCTTCATTTGCATCTTTGTCTATTCAACAGGAATGAGTGATTCTTTAGTACATACAGTAAGCAGAATTAGTCCTAAATAGAATTGTTTACTATATTTGTGTAGATATAATTACTTTGCCTGATGCCAGGACTTTTATTAATTTTATTGCAAGATATAGAATAGCAAGTATTCAGCACATTTTAACAGAAAATTTCAAAATACTGAGTAAGAGGGACTCATTTGAACTATATGATGACCTGTATGTTTTACCTCTGCGGAATTTGATATCTTATAATATGAGTTATTTAAAAAAGAGAGACAAAGGGGACTGGACTCCCACCAGAAATGACAAAAAGTGATAGATCTGCCATCAAGTCTAATCAGGGTAAGAGTTAAATATATATGAGTATAGTAAAATGGTAAACTAAGTTCAGCAAGGTTAACTAACTTAGGTGTGGAAAACATCAAACGTGGTCACTTGGTGGCACAAAGTGTTTGTTCTAGGATACTGATTGAAAGATTGGAGCTTTGAATCCATCAGTGGCACTACGAAACGTCTGATAATCTACTTCCATAAGAGTACAGCCACTGAACACCCAGATAGAGTGCAGTTCTGCTCTGAAATATGGGCTGTCATCAGTCAAGCCACTTTTGTTTGCAAAGCATAAGAAAGGGGATGGTATTTTAAAAAGACCTGGTTTTGGCTCTATATCTTGATCAAGTAATGTGACCTCCCCTGCCGTAATTATTTCCTTTACCATCCATTGCTGTTGTTGTTAAGTGCTATGGAGTCGGTTCTGATTCATAGCGACCCTGCAGAGGGTTTCCAAGGAGTGACTGGTGACTTTGAACCACTGACCTTATGGTTCAACTGACCTTGTGGTCCAGTACAGTATCCTACAGGGCCATACCAGGAGTCCATATACATAGGAGTCCTCATGTGGCACTGTAAGATAAATAGTGGGCTGTTAATCACAAGGTTGGCAGTTCAAACCTACCATCTGCTCCTCAGAAACCCTATACAGGGTCCCTATGAGTGGAAACCAACTTGATGGCATTTAACAACAACAACGATGTATATATTAAAACACATAGGAAGCCACAAAGCACTGTATACCTTATAT